ATCTAGCACCTTAGTTCTAAGTTAAAGTATCGATCCTCTTAGCGTTTTTATATCTAGCATCTTAGTTCTGACTTAAAGTATCGATCCTCTTAGCGTTTTTATATCTAGCATCTTAGTTCTGACTTAAAGTATCGATCCTCTTAAACTTTTTATATCAGGCATCTTAGTTTTAAGTTAAAGTATAAAATAATCCTCTGAGTGTTTTTATATTCAGTACCTTATATTTACAAGTTAAAGCAACGGTTCATTTAACGTTTCTACAATCATTATGTTATTTCTGACTAAAAGAAAAAAACACTAAAAAAAAACGTTTTAACTTTCGCGATAAGAACGTTCTCGGCTAGCCCTTAGTGGAATTTTTTCATTAAGTTTAACGAAATCGTCGACCAATTTAAAGCTGAAATATGACGATTCTATAATCTGAGATTAATAACATTTAACATTAAGAATGAAAATCGCTCTTTTTTTGTTTGTTTTACATGCCTGATATTATATGCAAATAATCAATAAAAGAGAAACAATGAAGCTAGGAAAGCAGAAGTTACCTATTGACAGATTTGGCAAAAGCCAATTTGGTAAAGATATGTCACTTATAAAAAAAAAATCTTTCCAAATGATTTTGCTTATTCACTTACGTTTTTCTAGGTGGCGACAAAATGAAACAAAATAATCATAATAGCGGAATCAATAACCCAGAAAATACCAGATACGTTCGTCCTCGTTACCAGGTTTCCACATTGGTGGAGAGAGGTGGCCTAAACCTAATTTGACATTCGAAACCAAACCGTGTACTGGGCCAAGAACTTATTATAGTAATTGGATTCTTGGCTCTTTGGTAGTGATTTTCTTGGGCTAATCAGGTTAAGGTAATTGACTGTGCTAGGATTGTTGTAAAGTCTCCTTAAGGTGCCTTGTTAGTTTAGTTTGTCAGAAAAAAAAATTCTTGCACTTATCACGCGAGAAAGGATAAAAATACGATAGTATAATTTTTTATATTTTGCTCTGTCAACTTTGTTTTAATACCAATGTAAGAAAAACAACAAGTGTTTATGTTACTTTACAAATATAAAACGCGTTAGTATTGAATTTGTGATTTATTTATTTCTTACTTTGTTTTAACAGGCCTGGTCGTTAGAGCGCTCGACTCACTACCTGCAATTCATGGGTTCGAATCCCGTCACCGAACATTCTCACCTTTTCAGCTGTGGGGGCGTTATAATGTGACGGTCAATCCCACTATTCGTTGGTTATAGAAAGTAGCCCAACAGCTGCCCTCCCTATAATCTGTAATTGCTAAATTAGGAACGGCTAGGGCAGATGGCCAAACAAACATATTGTTTATTTCATCCCAAACTACACATTAGGCTATCTGGCTCTATCCCCCACGGTTCGAACCCCGGATCTTAGTGTTGTATGTCCGTAAACTTATCGCTTACACACTGGAGGGACCTTGGCTCACGTTCATCTTTTTACAATTATTCATTTGTCTTTTGTTTTCGAAGGATTGAGAACAAGAGTTCATTATAGAAACTATTCCTTTCGGTACAAGTATGTTTCACCTGTGGATTCCAAATTTTATAAATACAATTGCTGGCATATTAATTAATATGCTAAATACTCGTATCGAGGTACAAATAAATTGAAACATTTCAATTTTACTTTTAAAAAAATCAGTCAAATTCTGCGATAATCGTTTACTTCGTTAAGATTTTATATCATACTGTAATGGGCACATTTTGTCAGTAATAAAAAAACAGTTTTTAGGTGTCAATCAATAAGCGGAGGCGTAGGAGAAGAATAAAAAGGCAAAATAAATCAAAAACTTCCAGTCTCTTCCTAAAAAGTTAATATTTTAGGGCCCGGCATGGCCAGGAGGTTAGGGCGCTCAACTCGCAATCTGCGGGTCGCGAGTTCGAATCTCCGTCCCATCAAACATATTCGCCCTTTCAGCCGTGGGGGCGTTATAATGTGACAACCAATCTCACTATTCGTTGGTAAAAGAGTAGACCAAGAGTTGATGACTTCCCTCTAGTTTTTCAATGCTAAATTAGGGACGGCTAGAGCAGATGGCCTTCGTGTAGCTTTGTGCAAAATTCAAAACAAACAAACTTAAAAGAAATACACTGACTTGGACTAAACCATATTTAATAAACATTCATTATGAAATCCTCTGGCTGGACAGGGGTTGCGAATTTGGAGTCCAAGGTTCGATCCAAGATATGCCTATGAACACATTATATAAATTTTCAGATCAGATGCGAGGAAGTTTTAAACATGACAGACAATACCACTATCCAGAGTAAGACAGCAGGTGTGACTGACTGGTTTTTCTTCCACTAGTCAGTTTAATTGTGAGATCTCTGACCTGGTTGTTTAGGTCGCGTGTCGTTCACATTAATAAATACTGCTCCAATTCTTCTTCAAATAGAAGTTAATAATTTAGTCTCAAGCTAGCGGTGCTATTTTACATCGCATTTCATCCATGCCTGTGATGTAGTTTTTACAGTATTATGTATTTCTGAAAACAACATTACTGCACCAAAAAATATACATTTATATATTTAACGATTGTGTATCCTCTAGTCGGTAATTTTTCTATTTGAACACAGCTTTAACTCTGCTTACAGTTTATGGGCCCCGGCATAGCCTGGTGGTTAGGGCGCTCGAATCACAGTCTGCGGGTTGTGGATTCGAATCCCCGTCACCAAACATGCTCACCCTTACAACCATTGGGGCATTACAATGTGTTGGTCAATCCCACTATTTTTTTTAGTAAAAGAGTAGCCCAAGAGTTGGCGGTAGGTGGTATCGACTAGCTGCCTTACCTCTAGTCGATCACTTTTAAATTAGGGACGGCTAGCACAGATAGCCTTCGTATAGCTTTGCGCGAAATTCAAAATCAACTAGAAGTATAACGTGCAGTTCAGGTTCTGGCGAATTTTTTCAGTCGGCGGATAACCTCAAAAAAGTGCAACGTTAGGTGATTTTGTTAAATCTAGGTCTGACAGAATGTGCAACTTACCCACGTGTTTCAAATACATCTGGACGAACACTGTTGATATTTAACACACTTGAAAAAAGCTTCAGTCTTTCAAATTCTCAACACTGTACACTTTTAGCAACCATTTAAGATGTATGAAAATTCTGGCAGTGTACCGCTTTTATCGAAAGTAATGTACGCTTTTTCTTTAAAAAAAAACAATCGATGTCCGCGTAAGTCGGATTTCAAGCAAGGTCCGTGACGTCATTGAAATTAGCTATTATACTCCAAGGTTGATGCTCTAAGTTGCTGAACTGAGTTGTTGAATGCGCCACGTAAAAGCTACGTGAAGACTATCTACGCTACCATCCGAGCTAATAAGAAACTAATGGTTTCTCTTATAACGCACCCACAGCTTAAAGTACGTAGAATAGTTTGTGGTATCGCACGGATTCGAATCAGGTTGGCAAACATCGAAATCCAAAGTTCTCCCACAGGGTCAACTCGCGTCCTCAATATTTAAATTGGAATAATCCAAAATAAAATAAAAATTTTGACATTGTTCTATTTATAAATAACAGGTTGGCGATTAAGCTTGCGAAGTGAATTAGCGTGAATTTTATTTATTTATTAAAGTCAAAACCAAAAAAAAAAGAAATCCTTACTTTACAGCATGGGCGAATATTATGTTTGTTTGTAATTATGCACAAAGCTACACAATGGGCTATCTGTGCTCTGCCCACCACGGGTATCGAAACCCGGTTTCTAGCGTTGCAAGTTCGCGAATATTATGTTTGTTTGTAATTATGCACAAAGCTACACAATGGGCTATCTGTGCTCTGCCCACCACGGGTATCGAAACCCGGTTTCTAGCGTTGTAAGTCCACGAATATTATGTATGGTGACTAAATAATTTTCATTTTACAAACATAAAGTCGAATAATAATAATAGTCAATAATTATGATGATAAATGCAGAGTATTTGAAGAAGCTAGAAAAAAAAAGTTATACCTTGAACAACCTTCAGTGATCATCCGTGATTGCTGAAGAATATTAGTAAACCCAAGTCACGTGCCTAAAATCTTAACTTGCTGAGCATGGTCTAGCTTTTCTATATAAATATGGCCGGTGATCAACAACATTCCTCTTACAGCTTGAGTTTGATTTTTCAAATCAGCAAACAAAACCTTAAGCGTTATTAAATAACAAAAAAAAAAAAACTAGGTAATGCGTATTTAAAGCGTGACAAAAATTATGTTCATTTTATAACCTACAACCTTTCGACGCTCTCTACAATTTATACGACAGTTATTTTTATTAAGAAAATGTCTAAAAGTCGTTTTTTGAAACAGGTTTTTAAGCAACCCCATGAACAATTAAGTAACCAGCGTGACAACGGTAACAAAAAATAAAAAAAAAACCGCGTTGAATTTAACAAACACGTAATTTTTGTATAATGAAAATATATTAATTATGTTTGTGTTTTTCTTATAGCAAAGCCACATCGGGCTCTCTGCTGTCTAAACCGAGGGGAATCGAACCCCTGATTTTAGCGTTGTAAATCCGAAGACTTATCGCTGTCCCAGCGGGGGACATATATTAATTAACAGGAAAGTTTATCGTTTATTCTATTTTTCGACAGGAAACTAAGCATTCTTCAACTTTTAAACAAGTACAAACACAAAATTAATATGTGAAGGATTATATTTTTCATCAGATTATTGTTTCCTTACAACTTATACAGAAATATCAAACATTATAAAATCGGTTTCAGTCCTATTTTGAGGCACTGAGTGTGGCGTGAAAAACAACCAGTTATGTATTAATAAAATGAAGGATGTTCATAAAGCAAGATATAATTCCTTACGAGTACATTTGTTATTGGAAGAGTTGTTGAGAATGAATTATCCAAACTTTCGCAAAAAGTGAACACTAGTTTAAAATTTTTAATAAAAAAAAAATCCAAAACTTGAACCGTCAATGTTTAAACCACAAATGTTATTAAAACGTTACTCTGAGATAATGCAAGAAACACAGTCAATTTATTTTACACACTCAAAAACAAACTAGATAATACTACATTGCTGAAGAATTAGTCACAAAATACATTACTGTGAGCAGTTTGGACAATATGAAAGAAATAGCTCAGATTAGTTGGTTGGACCGTGTAACGGCCGAGTCTTGATGGGTCACGAGATCGTGCTCAATCTTTCTATGGACAAGACATGCTGGTCAGTGAGAACATCACACAGATGATCGCACCACGCATAAAGAACATAGTCAATTGGTAGAAGTAAAAACATCTTGGTGTTGTAAACTCACAATTCTGTTGCAACGTATGTCCTGAACATTTTCACACACTATTCGTTCTGATCTTTCGTTTGGAATGTCATGGACGAGTAGATGAGGAGAGTACAGTTCTATGTATATTCAACTTGGAGTGCCATGATACGAGAGTGTGAGGACTTACCTCAGAGTGCACACCTTCAAGTAAATACTATATGATGGATGGTAAGTTTTCCTCAAAACTTTGAAACAAAATGACTGTTGATGATGGTGATTCAAGACAGAACGTTTGTAGTCACTGTAGCACCAATAAACTTTAGTTAAACAAAGAATTTTAATTAGACTATTAAATATTTGTTTGATGATTTTATTTCAGTCTCAACATTTAAACCGCTGTAAACTCGTAAATCAAGACCTCAAAACATTAGGAAAAAAAACAACAACCAAAAGTATCAAACCAAGTTGAGCAACAGTGGTTTGCGCTTCCCTTATTCATGTTTTTTTTTGGTTTGATGATCCGATTCGTGCTGCTGTTGTTAGCTGTGAAGATCGGAGTTACACAAAAAGTTGAACGAATTCCTTCATTACTTAATCTTGCAATTTTGAAAGATCTTTTAAAACTTTAGAGTTTGTTTACCTGAACCATTAAAACCTTTTAAAACAGATATTTGATTCAAGCCTTCGATCAGACTTAGTATATATCGAACTGCCTTTTAAGTTAATTTTCCACTGACCATGACTCAGTAATATATGAGATCGAAACAAAACGGATGGGATACTTGTTAAGTCAAAGGCGTGATGTGATAATCACTAAACTTTACATGCTCAATCAAAATCATTATTTACATGATCCAACAAAACACCGTTAACGACATGACTAATTCAATCTAGCAGTATCCATTACGTGTTAAATAGCCGTCATATCTATACGATCTCTAAGTACACTTTACTTCATCAATCAAAATTGTGATTTAAACCATCCAGTAACACAGTGTATTTGTTTACTCGCTGCCATGATTTACACGTCCAACAATACACATTACTTGATCACGACTCGAACGATCCAGCAGTTCAACAGTTTTTCTGAAACATGATTTACAAGATGTAGTAACACGCTTTAGTCCGATGAACAAATAATAACACTAGCGTCAATGAAGCCTATACTTGTTTGTATATATATATATAAGTCACTCTTATAAAAATCTGTGAATACAAGTAAAGGAGATAATGCTCTCACACAGCTTTTATGGCTGAGTTGGACCGAACCTTTCCTTTTCGTACACCAGACGTCGACACTGAGCCTTTAAGGATTTTCAGACAGTCCTGTTCACAGAAGACACTGCCGTTGACCAAGTTGTAGCGGTCACCTGGCACCAACTGGTTATGACACTTGACGCAAGCAAAACATTTGAGGTGGTACACGTTCCCGTGGGTCCTCATGACGAACTCGTTGGCAGGGATCAACTGACCACAGGCACTGCAGGCACCGGTGTTGCCGAACATGCTGAAAGAAAGGAACGTCATTATTAGTGATAATAAGTAGAAGCATAAGGCATTTTCGGGGATTTGTGTGAGGCTCGTGAGCAAATGACCTGTTTTTAATGAATCAGTACTGGATTACTAAATAGTAATGTGTACAGACACAATATATTTATTTATTTATGTATGTAGAGGTGATGATCAAAGCTGTGTTAAGAGCAAACTGTATTAAACAAACATTTAAAAATATTAAACAGTCACAATGAAAATTGATGAAAGACAAAGACATCAGTACGAGGAGTTCAGGATTTAGGTTTTTATTTTCCCAAGACTTCTTCTAAAGTATTTTTTGTGTCAGTTAAAACAACTAATATCGAGCAAATATAATAGCCCCCCAGTGGCACAGCAGCATGTCTGCGGACTTACAACGCTAGAAACCGGGTTTTGATACCCGTGATGAGAAGAGCATAGACAGCACATTGAATAGCTTTACGCTTAATTACAAAATACATAATTATTATTTGAAATATTTAAATTCTGTACAGAAAAGACGTTCCTTTCATTTGTTTCGGTTACTTTAAGCTCGTTACTACTACTTAGAAAACATCTCTGAGATTCTTTATATTCAAAGTAAAGTCGTAATATTATTGTTTTCTTCACGTTAAAAGTCTTAATGAAATATTGAAGAACCGAGGTTATTCTGAGCTGACTATTTGAAGCGACTACTCTTTGTACACCACAGCGAAGCTTGGCCAATGAATGAATTAAAATGTTTTTCATAAAGAAATGGCCTGGCATAGCCAGATGGTTAGGGCGCTTGACTCGCAATCTTCGGGTTCGAATCCCCGTCACACCAAACATGCTCGCCCTTTCAGCCGTGGGGGTGTTATAATGTGACGGTCAATCCCACTATTCGTTGGTAAAAGAGTAGCCCAAGAGTTGGCGGTGGGTGATGACGACTAGCTGCCTTCCCACTAGTTTTTCACTGCTAAATTAGGGACGGCTAGCGCAGATAACCCTCGTGTAGCTCTGTGCGAAATTCATAACAAACCAGATCATAAATAAGTACCAATCCTGTAAATGCTTCTGTCATTCGATCCCGTTTATATTAATTAATCATTTACCAACCGTTTTTATGTAAGCTAACCGTCTGCCGCCCGATTTGGTAGATTAATCATTTGTAACCTCATTCGGTAGACTAATCATTTGTAACCCGATTTGGTAGGTTAATCATTTGTAACCTCATTCGGTAGATTAATCATTTGTAACCCGATTTGGTAGGTTAATCATTTGTAACCTGATTTGGTAGATTAATCATTTGTAACCCGATTTGGTAGATTAATCATTTGTAACCTGATTTGGTAGGTTAATCATTTGTAACCTGATTTGGTAGATTAATCATTTGTAACCTGATTTGGTAGGTTAATCATTTGTAACCCGATTCGGTAGGTTAATCACTTGTAACCCGATTCGGGAGATTAATCATTTGTAACCCGATTCGGTAGGTTAATCATTTGTAACCCGATTCGGGAAGTTAATCATTTGTAACCCGATTCGGTAGGTTAATCATTTGTAGCCCGATTCCGTTGAAGTTAATCATTTGTAACCCGATTCGGTAGGTTAATCATTTGCCACCCGGTTCCGTTGAAGTTAACCACTCTTATATCAGCCTCTCCCCCCTTCCTAAGTGAAAAGTCTGAAGGCTTATAACGCTAAAAATCGGGTTCTGATACAAACGATGGGCACAGCACAGATAACACATTGTGTAGCTTTGTCTACATCTATGATCTTTCATTCTGGTGTAAACCAGGTAAAAATGATGTTGCATTTCTTGAGATATCTTCCAGACCGTGAAACCTCACGTGAAACAAAAAAAAGTAAGTCTACGCACTTATAAAGAAAAATTCTGGGATTCCATTCCCTGCAGTGGACAGAGTGCAAATAGCCCATTGTGTAGCATTCCACTAATAAAACAACAACTATTCAGGCTCAATATATTAATGCAAAGACTCCAACTTGGATACATAACGCTGAGATAAATATTAAGTCGAACAGTACCGGTGCTATAATGGACCCAACTAAACCACACATGGAGAGACCTAAGTACGTGCTTATGTTACTAAGTCCCGTTTTTTCGTGATCGTAATAATTTGATGTCCGTCACTGGAGAAACACAGAACATCGAAGAAAAGTAGCGGACCGCCAGCGAATTGGTAATAACTATTAAACATCACGCCCCCTGTTGTTGATCGTATGTAATTTTACGTGTTTCACTCCATAAACAGTTTCTCTTGCTATTTAGTCTTAAAGGATGACACGTGTCTTTTTTTTTTACCACTGCTGTTTATTAGGTGTTTACAGGTGTGCTACTCTTGCTTGACCATTACCGTTTATCGTTGGTGTTTACACGTATTTCTTTTGCTTGACCACTGTTGTTTGTTCTTAAGAGTTGAAATGTTTTTGTTTGATCGCTAATGCTCACCATATGTGTTTACACGTGATTCTCTTGCTTGCCCACTTGTTTTACCAGACGTGTTTACACGTATTTCTTTAACTTGACCACTGCTGTTTACACGTGATTCTCTTGCTTGACCGTTGCTGTTTACCATACGTGTTTACACGTGATCCTCATGCTTGACTATTGCTGCTTACCATACGTAATTACACGTAATTCTTTTGCTTGACCGTTGCTGTTTATCATACATGTTTACACGTAATTCTCCTGCTTAACCGTTGCTGTTTATCATACATGTTTACACGTAATTCTCCTGCTTGACCGTTGCTGTTTATCATACATGTTTACACCTAATTCTCCTGCTTGACCGTTGCTGTTTATCATACATGTTTACACCTAATTCTCCTGCTTGACCGTTGCTGTTTACCATACGTGTTTACACGTAATTCTCTTGCTTGATCGCTGCTGTCTGTCATGTTCTTAAGCATGTTTCTCTTGCGAAGGATATATTTTTAGGTTATATTTTCATCTTGAGTATTTGACAGCAACGTTTAAAATTATAACATCGACAACCTGTAACGCTACACATAAATAACTTGAACAACTTCGTTATGACAGCGCCATCAAACGATCAATGAAACCAACTATTCTTCAAGCGTCAGCTAAGGAAATTTAATTTCCGATTTTGGCGAGCAGGCAAACTAAATTATTTGTAGTCAGGCACAAGGAATATTGGTTCAACAAGTCTGTCAGGCAAAATTAAATCCTATACAGCAGAATACACTGAAGGAGCGAGGCCGTGAGCTTAGGGCCAACCAACTAATAAAAAAATACACGTTGCTTTACAAAACAACAACAACAAAAAACGGAGGCTCAGCGGCAACTCCGTGGGCATATAACGCTAAAAGTTGGATTTCGATATTCGTAGTGGGCAGAGCCTAATTCCATTGTAACGTCAAATAAACTGGAAAAAAGTTTTCATTTAGACGTGTCAATTATTATCTATTGTCAATTATCCAGAGCTCAGACAGCTCACTGTATAGCTTTGTGCTTTACAGCAAAGAAAGAAAGAAATGAAAACATTGTTGGTATAGTGTTCTTGAAATGTTCCTCAAGCTTCTTCTTCATGACTGGTATAACGCTCTTGATACGTGCTGGAACTCTTTTTTTCAACGTGACTGGTATGATTCATTTGAAACATTGTACAAGCTTTTCTTCTTCATGACTGGTATAACGCTCTTAACGTGTGATGGGAGTTTTTCCTTCTACACTTTATCAGTTCGCTTTAAGTTGGTGCTACAACACACTTACTTAGCTCAACAAAATTGTTTACGTTTAGTTCACACCAAAATACAGACACGCGGGAAGACAGGTAAAGGTTTTGTCTTCCTTAATTATCTTAAGTCAAGTGATTAAACTAAATAATACTCCAAACACAGGTAGATAAGACAGATATACATGAGCGAATAAGCAGACCTTGAAAAGACAGATAAATGTTTGAAATGTGTTCACTCTACCTTTTTCACGATTCATTTGCTATTTGTCCGCAAAATATACACGTACACGTTTTCGAAATAAGTGGTCGACACTCTGATGTCGTCGGTAACAACACCAAGGCTTTCAATTTTTATTTCCTAGGTTTGAAACACTGAAAGCTATCACTTAACGTCCTTTTGTTAGAGTTGTATCACCACATTTTGTTGAATGTTTTTTTTGGCCTACCTATCTACAGGTAAAGATTGCGGCCTTCTTATCTGATATTAATGTCGTGTTTACAATACTTATCAAGACAAACTTTGTAACTCAAGCAAATTCAAATCTCTCTCTCTCTCTCTTTTCTTTCTTTCTGTGTACATATATAGCTAATGTAACATAATTGTCAACGACGCTCACGCATTTTAGAAAATGATTACCGTACTTGCCGGTGTATAAGACGGCCCCTGGATTTGTTCAGCAAATTAAGTGTATTTCTTTGAGTTCCGGTGAATAGGACGACCTCTATTGACAAGCAAGTCTAGGATGTTATTTTTGTAAAGGTATTCTTAAAAGTTATTTTTAAACTGTGCTAAACTGCGCTCTGGGGTAATCAATACAACCACAAGTGTGGTTTTTTATGCTCTTCAAAAGTTACAGACAGCTTAACTTAAGTCACAAACATGCACTAAACAACTTTACAAAATTTTAATCACAGTTGATCTCTGTTTCTATTACAAAAAAAAAATCTAAACCTTAAGATATGGTGATCTACTAGAAAAACCTGTTTACAAGATTAGTGTATGTTACAGAAATTGACTTTTTTTTTTTATTAAAATATTAGGAATATTTTAGTACGACGGATGATTTCAAATCAAAAATGTCCTGATTAATTGTAACTAGCATGTGAGATAAATAACTTCTAGTTATGAAGAACCGAGACAAATGATACAATTACAAATATGTTATTGTAACGCAGTAGATGTCAACACATTTACTCAAAATAACAAACAAAAGTAAAAGGAACAACGTAGTTTTGGTTAAATATGCTATTAACTGGAGAGTTCTTACTGGAACTCTATCCTTGAACCTGTGTA